TATAAAGAGAACAGTTAGTGAGTGGATAGTGTGTAACCCAGCAGCTCACCCTACTGCACACACAATTTTAAAATAATAAAAATATTAATAATGAAGTCAGCAGAAAATTTTGAAGACTAATGTAATGTAATGTAATGTAATGTAATGCATTGTACCTTAGGTGTCCTACTGACAAGGATCAGAGTTCTTTCTTTCCATTGTATTTAATTAGCTTTGCAGGCAGTATGACCCCTTTATAACCTCTCAACCTGGCCACTAAAATTTGCCTGTCTAAATTCCAACAGCTGATATAATGAAAGCACCCAGCTCCCACAGGTTTTCTATAGTCTGATGTGCCCTCAGTTTCTACCACAGGCATGTCAAATTGTGTCAGATTATGAACTCCATAAAGGGACGCGGGTGGTTCTGTGGGTTAAACCACAGAGCCTAGGACTTGCCAATCTGAAGGTCGGCGGTTCGAATCCCCGCGATGGGGTGAGCTCCCGTTGCTCGGTCCCTGCTCCTGCCAACCTACCAGTTCAAAAGCACATCAAAGTACAAGTAGATAAATAGGTACCGCTCCGGCGGGAAGCTAAACGGCGTTTCCGTGCGCTGCTCTGGTTCGCCAGAAGCGGCTTAGTCATGCTGGCCACATGACCCAGAAGCTTTACGCCGGCTCCATTGGCCAATAAAGCCAGATGAGCGCCGCAACCCCAGAGTCGGCCACGACTGGACCTAATGGCCAGGGGTCCCTTTACCTTTACCTTTATGAACTCCATAAAGCTGCCCAACTATCAGTTCTGGGTACTGGTTAGAGAAACGCTCACAAGCACACATGCTATTATGACATCACAGAGAAGTTGAGTTATTATGCTTTTTTATTTCCAGTGAAACCAAAGTATACTACTGCTGTGATCACAGAACGTCTTCACATTTGATGCAAATATGAAAGAGCTATGTACAAAGTAATCAAGTGGCACTATTTTTCAACAAAAAGAAACAACCCAAGCCTCAATTATTATATAATGTAAAACAGGTTATATGCATAACATCTGTAAGTTCCAACTGCACTGCAGTTGCATTACCTTGAACACAAGTGCCACATTAATAATGATCATTCCTTAAGACAAATTTAATATAAGCATTAGACATTAGTTAACAGCGACATGTTTTACTGAGGAAAACTAGTGCAAGCTTTTACTCCTTTTAGTCTGATAATTCTAGCTCTAAATGGTTTCTAAACCATTTAGAAAGGTCATACATTCTCTTTCTAAACTAGTATACTTTAAAGTGTTTTTAATATATATTTATATTTATATATATATACTTACATATAAACCAATTTCACATTGTAATTAAACAGGAGAAATTTACAGTAAAATTTGATGGTTTAAACTCTCTTTTCAGATGTTCGTTTTATTGTGTTCCTGATGTACTGTGGACTGAAGGAGTAGAATCATGATCAGGCAGGAAGGTAACTGTGGGAATAGATGTCTCTGGAAGCACAGGCGCAAGCACATGGCGGCATACAGGACACGTTCCGGACTAGATGAAAGAAAAGGCCATCGATCAGTTGCAAGGCAGCTACAAGAAGGCCAGGTACGCAAGAATGCCAAAATACAACACCTCAAATAAACACAGATTTGCGGGTGTGAACCCTGAGTGAGCGAAGCAGCCAGTTTGCTAACCTAAGACCAGTCTTTGTGTACCTGCTTCTTAGGTGTCATGCCAATTTCAGAGGGATTTCTCTGGAATAAGCACATCGGGAGACTGCCTTTGGTAGAGGTAGTGAAACATCGAACACAAAATGATGAAATGTGGTATTACTTGTGTTCAATATTTTAAGAAGGTTCTTATCACTAGATTAGATTTTTTTGTTTAAAGTTCACTACTATGTGAAATAGAATTTAGCTTTCTGAAATGAATTTTGCCTAATAGTTTTTCGGCAGAAAGCCAATGTATGTGCAACACTGCACTTACTACCCTCTCCTCCCCCCGGACTAGTGTCTTGATGAGGGCAGGTTAACACTTGTTGCCCCAGCAAATGTTGAAATCTCAGGAATTTGTTAGGGTCAAACCACAAATATAATGTAGTCAAATTTTCCAATATAAAAGGCCTAAAACATTACTAAAACAATATCTCTAACTTGTGTTTCACTGTAATCAAACTTTATAGTAAAACTGTGAAATTTGCAAATATTCCAGAAACTTTGGGGGTGACAGTCTGGGATATACTTGTAGGTCTCTGAGTAACTTGCAGTAGACCAGCAAGGACTGCTGATTCCCAACTGTTTAACAATAGCAAACACCCACACACTACTTTCCCACCTTAATTAGGCTGTTGAAAGAAAGAAAGCTAGCCAGGAGTGAACTTGTACGTGGAAGGACTGTTACTTAGGTTCAGTTCAGCTACTGAAAACAAATGCCTAGGATCAAATTGAACTGATCTTTATATTCTTTCAATACTAAGTTGAAGTCTGACAATCACCACCAGCAGAGCTTTTCTGCCTTTAAACACAAGAACAATTGGATCTCTAGTCAATGAAGCATTAAAAAAATAATTAACATGGCACTGAACATATTCATGTAAATAGACTGGATAAAACAATGCACTTGTAGTTATACATTTAAATCTAACTTCAAAAAAAGAGAATTATGATGATTGTATGTTTGTTTGGCATCTTCACAAAGTACAACTGAAAGCAAGTAGGAAGAAAGCCATGTACATTGAGTATCGTCAATGCTTCACAGAAATTGTGAGTTTTAAAGGAATTTGGTTAGATTTCAATGCAAATACACACCTTTTGCAACCAAAGTGTTATGCAGGGCTTATGAAAGAAGTGATGACATGGAAGTTCTGTTACAATTTCTTCTTTGATATACTCACTGCAGCAGATAGCACAGCACTGCTCCTGACCTACAGCTTAGGGAAACAAAGTACATATCAGCCTGCACTTTCAAAACCTAGGAGATCTCAAAGATTAAGGTGGCACAATTAGAAATATAAGCCTTCTAAGCATAAAGCTTTTGAAACTAGCCTCTAGTTCTAATTGCAGGTCAGATACTGCCATGCTAAAGCTTGCAAAAGAAAAAAGAAAAAACCCACAGGCCGCCATTATTTTAATCACAATTTGACCGGAGTTGTCTCATTTATGCTTACCATTGTGATCTTCTGTTATAATAATCTGTGGCAGACAGTCTATGCTCTCCTTACTAGCTGGTGGATGGGCCTGCTCAACATCAATTGCGAGGGACTCTAAATGTGCCAGAGCGGTCTGAAAAGATGCATAAGAAGCCATTTCTGTTATGCATAAGACAGATATAATTTATTCCTTTTAAAAAAATCCATTTAAAAGGGTTGCATGAAGCTCAACAACTGTAGAAAAGGATGGGTACAAATTGACATGCTTCTACATTTCCCCTCAGAAATGCTAAATTGATATAATACGTAGGAGAGATCTGGTTGTAAATATTAATCTCTGAGAATTAATTAAAGAATAAAATTTACTCCTTAATGAACATGAATCTATATTACTAAAGTGGATGAACCATCTGTCATCTTTTACTTCAGCAGGGGAGAGCAGTCCAAGCTTGATTGCCTTAGTAACAGCATGGCGCTATCATAGATTAGTCTCTCATTTCAACCAATCACAGTTGTTACCAGTTCAATTTTCAGTTACAATAGTGATTTGCATAGTTTAATGCTGCTATGGAGCAGGTTATTAAGTCATGCTTCTAAAACATACGCTTCCCTCTTCGTGCCTTGCCCTACTTTAGCCGGCAGCTACATCTTCCTTTGTCACAACTTTGCTATGCTGTCCTTCTCCCCAAAATGGAGTGTCCATGGTGCGCAGGGGGGGAGCAGTGGTTACATGCAGTATAATCTCTTAGGAAAATGGAAACCAGATGCCATGTACTGGTTTGCACATACAGAATGAGCTGCAGATAGGTGATCAGGTGGTTCAATTGGGCTGCAGAATTAGGAACTTGCCTGTGGCGCCACACACTTTGAAGATGCCTTTGTTCAATATTACATCAAGATATTGTCTAAAAATTGAGAAACTCACCCACACAAAGGCTATTATTATTTCAACAAGATTTTGTATGTAGACTTCATTGGGTATGTGGCCAAGATAACCAAACCCCCTTCCATAACCAGAAGAATGCACTACATTTTTGCTCTGGGGTCTAACTGCTTAGACTACATCCGTAGTTCCAATTAAGTTCTGATTGATTATGCATGGTCATTTTGGTGAACAGATGCCAAATTTCACCTTCAACACTGCGCCGCAGTGCTTAGTGAAAAGGTCCATAAATTTACATTACTTCCCCAGAAAAATACTAGAATGGCATTATTATTCATCATTTACAAAGAACTTTGCAGTTCTTCAATAAAAAATACATCATAGGAATATCTAAATCTACGTATTCTTTTAATACATATTTATTCCATTAGACTACTTGCTGTTGTTTTAACTTAATATATTTTAAAAGGGAAACTGTTAGAAAGTCTGAGAGAAAATATGTTCACTTACTCAGGAAATGAAAACAAATAGTACTTTGCATTTATATTGTGCATTTTGAGTGCTCAAAATGTTCCACATACATGTCTTCTGCACTCCCCACAACAGCTATGTAGGGCAGGCCAAGCTCTTCATATGATATGGGGCTGAGAGGATAGTGAGTTGCCTACAGCTTCTTAGTGAGTTAAAGGCTAAACAAATAAGCTTTGGGAGCAACACCACTAGTATTATGTTAAGCATACAACTCTAGTATTCAGATTTGTGCCAAACATGGTTTGGTTATTTGTTCTCAGGAAGAGTAACAACTGTAGCAATGGACCTATGTTGTGCTTTCATAAACCTGTCAGCCACTTAAGGTAAGCTGTACTAAAAACTGCTTGATACAGGTTTTAAGAAGCTTTAAACACTTCTCTTGATGATTTCCCCCCCCCACAAAACGCATTTGCAACCACATTCATTTGTGCACCTGCTTCTATGGCTGTTATTGATTCCCCCCTTTTTTGCATTATTGAATGGGTATCACCGAGTTTGGTGCACAAGTGTTGTGAATCATAAGTGTTTCTGAAACCTAGGGCAGCTGACAATTGTGTCCTAGAAGATAACAAATAATTGAGACAAATTCTGCTGTTGTAGCAAAACTACTATTCTGTTTGTAGTTGTGCAAATATCTGATAGAACGTCATACCATTAATCCACCAGGCAATACAAATATTTCTCCGTAACATTATTCTCTACCTACTTTTCTTACTATTAATTATTATTATTAGCAGCTGCCTCTGCTTTGTAGCAGAGTTCTGAATTTTCAAAATTGAGAAGGTTGTCAAAATATGAGAAAATTATGAACTATTCTAACTAATTTATCCTTAGAGAAGAGCCTGTCTGTTATATTTCCTCTGATTTCATGTTTATCTTTTGTAACTCCAACTTCACTGCACAAAATTCCACTGTTTTCACAGAAGGCGCAAGAGACATAATGAGATGTTGTGAGATGCAGTCACTAACCCTTCCACCTTGACCTACAGGGCATGTTCTCCCCCAGCCTTTCCACTAGCAAGCCAACACAGAAAGGTTAGTCACAATGAGAATAATGTATTGCAAACAGTAAAAAATGCAGATCCAGCTGCTTGGAGATGCCACACTTATTAACAAATCTAGAATGATGGGAAACATAACACACAAACAAATCTAAAAGATTAAGTTTAACTACATAAGCATGATGACAAAGTTTGGATTTGGAAGATTAATCTTCTAAACATCTAAAAGAGTTAAAGAAAGGAGGCAATAATCTTTGCAGTAAGGCTGCCATCTTAAACTTAAAGGAGGAATAAAACAATTCAATGTTATACTATAATAAACATTTGCTTACTTTTCCCTTTACAATTGCTTTGCAACACAATTTCAGTATTTAGTTTAACTCAGTGGTTCCCCAACTTTTTTCCCTATGGACCACTTGAAAATTGCTGAAGTTCTTGGCAGACCACTTATATCATTTTCCTGTCCATTGTAGCAACTGTAATTCCACAGAATTCAAATCATAATACAATGAAAGGAAATGAATGAATGAATAAATGCACAATTCAAATGAATACAAATATTCAGTGTGATGGATGTGACGTCTCCCATCTTCAACCACAAATTCATATATTTGCCACAGACTATCTGAATGAAGTTTGTGATCTGCTGGTATAGGATGTGCAGCACACACTTTCAACATAAAACACATCAGCAGGGCACCAGAACTATATTTAACTTAGATAAAAGTTCTGTTGATGAGGGTAGAATACACCCAATACCATTTCTAGATAACTTAGGAATGTAAGAAGTATTCAAAAGTATTCAAAGAAGCTAAATAAATCTAAATAAATAAATAAATCCACAGCCAAAACTGCCACAAAATGACAAGTACCAACTATGGTATGGCATCAACATTTTACATTCTGCCTTTTCCAGGAAATTAGACTACCTGCGACTCCAAATCTTACATGCAAAGGCTCTTGTGCACTGTAATGTTCTTGGAAAGGTCACTGAATCTTACAGGAAGGCAATGACTCACTGATTCAGAAGAAAATAGAAAATAAAAATGCTGGCGCTCTGCCATATTAAGTACATCATCTGCATAGATGGAATGGAGGGAATCAGAAATCGCAAGTACCTATGGACACTGGTAAGTCGTTTATATGAACATGCTTGTTATTTGAAAAGATTTAGTTTAGTGATGAAGAGGAGTAAAGCATTCTATAAAAATACGTACCCCCAAACTAAAGTAGCTAAGGAGTGAAATTTCAAAACATTTCAGTTCCTATGTAAACTAATGGCTGTTTCTGGTACAGTTATTATAGTTATAATGTTAAATTCTTGCACAGCTCCTCTCTGATAAAGAAACACTAAGCATGTTATTTAAATGCAGCACATAGAAAAAGAATTTTTGTTTAAAGGTGTTGAAATAAATATATTGACAAAGGAATAAAACATTCAACTGAAACAGGGTAGTGTTGACTAGTATATTTTCACCATTTGAAAACAACTTCTCCAAGCTAGTGTTTTAAAGGAATTCACCTACCGTATTTTTCACCCTATAGGACGCACTTTTCCCCCTCCAAAAATGAAGGGGAAATGTGTGTGCGTCCTATGGGGCGAATGCAGGCTTTCGCTGAAGCCTGGAGAGCGAGAGGGGTTGGTGCGCACCGACCCCTCTCGCACTCCAGGCTTCAGGAGAGCCCCACCGCCAGCCCCACAAACTCGGGGGACAGCGGGAGAGGCGCAGCGCGCCTTTCCCGCTGTCCTCCGACTTGGTTAGAAGGCTGGCGGAGGGCTGCCCCCTCCTCCAGCCCCGCAAGCTCCCAGAGCGATGCCAAAGCTGCACGCAGCTTCGGCATGGCTCTGGGTCCCGTTCTGGGGGCTGGGGAAGCTCGGGCTTCCCCTGCCCCAGCCCCGTGCCTGGGGGGGGGGAGAAATAATTTTCCCCCTTTATTCCCCCCCCAAAAAAATCTAGGTGCGTCCTATGGGCCGGTGCGTCCTATAGGGCGAAAAATACGGTAAATGTTGATAACACAATGCTCAAAGTCAGTTCTGAATTTTCCTCTTAGAACAAAGCTCAAGAAACTGAACTATCTTCTAAAAAGAGTTGTTAGACTCACAAACTTTTCTCTTTTTATAACAGATATGAAATAAAATATTGAAAGAAATACACAGAAGTCTTGGACAAATGGCTTACTTTTAAATAAAATAAAATGGAGAACTTATTTATTAACAAGGAATCACACAACTTATTTTTATACACAATGAAATCCTGCGAGACCAAAGCAAGACAGAACACATGTATATACTACCCGCACACATACATAAGCACGCAAACTCTCTTTTTTTCTGCGTAAAAAGTTACTGACATGTACTTTGAAATGTATAATTTATTCAACTGAAGTTGGGAACACAAGTTTCATTTATGATACTGTAATAACAATTACATATTAAAATATCACTATCCTGTTTTTAAAGAATATTAAGTATATTTATTTAAAACTATTGTTGATTTCTGCTGTCCCTCAACATGTAATAAAAATTGTATGTGTGAACAAAAAAGTTTGCCATTATTCTACAAAAGAAAATATCAAAAATGTCTAAGGAAATGAGTACCAGCATGTGATACCTTAGGGCAACTGCCAGGGTCCACCACAACTGCTGCCAGGTTCTTGCTACCAATACTACCAATAAGCCTGTCCCAGGTAGCAATACCAACAAGGGACTTGTCACACTTCCCTGAGCTTACTGGTGCCCTGATCTTTAGCAAAGCTAGTGTGGTACAGTGGTATTAGAGACAAGGTTCAAATCCATAAATATTTTCTGTAATCTACGGGTGTGGCTGTCTCTCAACCCTCAACATAAGTTATGCTTCAAAAAGTTGCATAGAAACTGAAGGTCTTAACTCCAAGAAATTAGTTTTCCCCTGGCCAGTATTATATATAACTGACTGGAGTTCATCCCATTTTACTAAATGGAAAACCTACATCTCGACAGCTTTTCCAATTATGCATTCAGAAGTCAAAGTGCTTTCTCCCCCACTTCAGACATTAGCCAGAAAAATGTGTTTTCCGTTTATTCATGAACTCAACAGGGAAAGCACAGAACTATCTAGCATCTTGGGGCAGGAGAAGAAAAGGGGGGGGCAGGAAAAAAAGGATGTACAGGATAATTTCAGCAGTGACAGGCACAATGATTTATTTATTTGAATATTGAGCAGACCTGAGCCCAAAAGCTCAGGACTGGTCTATATGCAACCTTGATGCTCTTTGCTCTACCCTCTACCATTTCATTTCTCCAGTAGTTGACCACATGTCCAAATTCTGAATCTACATTTTTGAAAACCTAAATCTGCATTATTCATTTAGACTACTAAACATTGGTATTTTAACAACGCAACAACATACAACTCAGGCAATTCCTAATTTAATTTTCCTGAGCAGAGAGAATCCAAAAGGCAACTGGCAAAAATGTCAATAAAGTGGCATTAATAGCAGAGCATGCAGACCCAATTTCAGGAAATCCATGGAACATGTGGATATATTACAGATTAGTATTATATGCATTACAATTGTATGTATTATATGCTCCCTATGCTGTTCAGGGGTTGTGACAGAATTCTCTAGTTCAAACATATCCAAAATACTTTCCCAGGCTATAATGGAAAAGATCCAAGAAACTATCAGGTTCATAATTGTTACAACAGGTGGCGGAAAAATTGTTAGCCCAAATAAATAGAATTGGGTTTAGTTTTGGGAGGAGGACTTTTCAACCTTCCTTGTTCACTAAAAAGCAGAGGTTTATTATATTTCTCATTACGTTAAGATTCCAAGTGTTCAATGACCTCTATGATCTCTAAACTTGGATCTAAATTACTTGTGATCATATGGCCTGTTCCGGTACTTATCCCAATAAAATGTAGTTATTTCAAAAACTAACTTAGGAAATAGCTGAATTTACCCATATCCAAAAGCCTGAAACTGATCTCCTACATAATATTGAACTTAAATACAGAACAAACTAGAGAAACTGTTATACTGAACAGCAGGTGCCAAAAATTTGATACCAAGGGCTATCTCTAGATACTCTGATAATACTTTGGTAATATTAAAGGATGAGCCACACTATCTACACACCACCTCAAGGTCACCAACCCTTCCCCTGACCCCACAACAGGTGAGGCAGGGACCTTGTGACATGATGCTGACCTCCAGAGGTGCCCCGAACGCCTGCAAAGCACAATGCAACTGCATGGAAATCTTTCACCTTCCTTTCCAGTTCCTAAATCAGGGAGAGCCCTTGCCCTTCTCTATGTTCTATAGAAGAACTGCACCTCTTTCCAAAGTAGCAATAACCAACAACTTTTACCAGCCTGGCTTTAAAAACATACAAACAAACAAAAACTTGACTTAAAGCAGAAACCAATGAATGGTTTGGATCAGATGTCACAGTACTGCTGAACCTGGGCGAGGTGGCCAGTCCCTTAAATGGGAGACTAATGGCAGCCATGCATAAGATGCTATACAAATATAAATATTTTTTTAAAAAAACCTTGGCTGGATCTAGACACGTCAAAGAAGCGATTCAGTTAAATGCATCGTAAACTCATACAGGGAAATCTGGTAGGGAAAGACAGGACTCCACGGCACCATCTGGTGCCAAAGTGTTATATCGCATATACAACGCATATATAACGCTTTTTCTTTACCAACCTAGCTGAATCCCTTGACTTAAACCAGGGGGAGTATATAAACACATTCCCATGCTACAAGGGTGAATGAACAAAACTGAAATATTTGCTGAAGAAATTTTGAAATAGGGATGCAGAAAGGGGAGGTATGGGGAAGTCGGAGAAGTAAGATTTATGAAAAGAAGCTTTTGAAATTATACGTGTTTATGTGTTTGTTTGTGTATTGTGTGTTGTATTGTGTTTAATATGTGTTGGAAAATCAATAAAAATATTATTTTAAAAAAACCAACTGAAATATTTGAGACATCCATCCAGCAACATATACATTATAAATAGAAATATTGCCAATGTTTTAACACTGCATTTAAGACAATGCAGTACGCTCAATGCTCGTATAGCACACGTTGAACAGAAAAATCCTGTTTTAATCAGAGCAAAATCGAAGGGCAGAATAAAGCTAATGCAGATATCTTTATACTCCCTTTCCTAAAGAGAAGTCCAAATTCCTTACACCATTTGCAGCCTACCTCCTGAGGGCTGAGCCTTTTTGCCACCGCTCTATTTTGGGGATAGGGGCCTATGTTCCGCCTCCACTGTCAGAGTCACTGTGCCTAGGAGTACCAATTGCTTGGCGTCACTGTGGGGACAGTGCTACTGCACTCAGGTGCTTCTTGTGAGCTTGCTCACAGATGCGATAAATATGAAAAAGCCTAATCCACAGTGGATGTTCGCGCTACTATAAATGTAGCTGAGCTATGTTTTCCCTCGGTTTAACTAATCTTAAAATGAAAACTTAGAAAAGTATTGCATTACCTCCATAGCCTGTGCCAGTCGTTCTTCCAGAGCCATATATGTAAGGAACTGGGGATCCACATAAGAAATGGCTTGAGCAACACCCAAGCCATCACCAAATTCATCAAGCAGCCTAGGGGAAAAGCAGGATTTATGACCTCAATTGCAATTAGATACCATACCCCCCCCAAAAAAAATTAGGCTGTTACAAGGGGCTGCATACATTTGCCTCTCATGTTCTAGAACTTCAGATAATAAGTTCTCAGTCTGAAAAACGAACCACACAAAGAAACCTGCTGCGGCTGCCGCCAGGAAATACAAGCATTCAACAGGCTTGGCCTGGTGATCTTAGAAGATGAATGCGACACAAAATCAACCTGATTAGCAGTACTTTCAATACGGTACCTTAACAGCCGAAATTTCTTATCTTTGAGTCAAAAAGTGTTGGCTCTTTTAGGGTGACTATAGTTCCTCTGGGAGGAATAAGTGAAAATGTAGTCTTCAGGGCTGAGCTTTAAGAGGTTTTTCTTGGATTTTTCTTTTAAGTTGTGCTAATGAACACTTAGGTGGGAACTAGAGCTGAGCAGTCATGCAGAAAGTAAACACAAAAATATATTTTTAAAAAATTAAAAAATTGTCCAGTAGCACCTTAGAGACCAACTAAGTTTGTTCTGGGTATAAGCTTTTTTGTGCATGCACACTTCAGAGTTGGCCTCTAAGGTGCTACTGGACAACTTTTAACCACCCCCCCCCGACTGCATCAGACCAACATGACTACCTACCTGAAGCAAAAATATCTGCCGCTACAGGATTTTTACTATGGTAATCAGTTAGTGAGTGGAAGACCAAATATTCCTTTTCACAATTGGCCTTGCCAGTAAGTCCTCCATGTATGCGAAGGAAACAGGTGGCATGTGAGGTCAATCCTTAGCAATGGCCCAACATGCTAACAGGCCTTCCTTTTTGACATGGACATACAGTGTATAAGCATGACTTGCCTCATTAGAGGAAGGAGGGAAATCACAGTGCTATATAGCAATTGGGGAGCTACCAGAACCTCTCTCTATGTTGACTCTGATTCAGAGACCCACCAGTTGCTGAGACCCCATGTTCATAATACATTTCAGTAGTTAAGTTAACCTGTTACAGCAGCACAGACCGTTTACTATGCCATTTCTCAGTTGATTTTAATGCAGGCAACATGTGAGTGGTAAATGTCTCAAATAAACATCAGCACGTAGTAAAGTACCTCCATTCCACGTCTAGATCTTCACTCATACTGGAATCATCTTCCAGATTGTTGTTTCCATCCAACATGAAAAAGCCAGGATGCACAAAATGGCTCACTTGGTCATTTTCCTCATCGCTGCTGCTTTCAATTTCTTCATGATACTGCAACCAAGGAATTTCGCCGTCCTCTAGGGTAGTCTGTTCCCTTTATACAAAAATGAGAAAAGCTATACAAAATGAAAGTAAAACTACATGTAAGCAAGTGTACAGAGTGCGCTCTTCATTGGTGAATGCTCATATTATGTCCAGCTGCTAGCAAACAAAACCTGGCAGCCGTTTTCCATAGAAAGCAGCACATCCTATTAAGTAACGATTCAACAGCGATAGCTAAAATACCATTATTTCTATTTTAAAAATTGAGAGGGAGCAACTATATACATATGAACAATAAAGATCTAATGTCTGCATAAACTGCTCTGGTGATGTGAGCCAAAGTCCTAGCACATTGTGCAGGGAAGATACCACCCTACTACTCTCTTTGTCAAGTCCATTCATGAATCTATAGTTGAATTTTGTATTCTCCTACTGCTATAGCACAATAATGAGTTTAACGTGCTTTTAGAATTTTTTTTTTAAAAAAAATACTTTTAAATGTTTTTACTCCATTTTTAATTGTTTTATTACTTTGGTGGTTGCTGTCCAGGGCTCCCATGGGAGGAAGGGCAGAATATAAATTTACTAAATGAATCATTTTTTTAAAAAAAACCT